TATAGTGAAAATTAGTATGACAGCAACATACGCATTACGACCCCATTTTTCAGTTGCAGCAAGAACTTTAGCATCAGAACCATGGCCGGTACATTTTAGGTAATAGCCAAATGTTTCCTTCGTAGGATATGGAAGCTTGCAAAAGGTATCCTCCTCCTTAGAATAGATGAAGCACTGCTTTCTGAAATCAAAGTAAATCTCTTCGACATCTTTCGCAGATGACGAACTTGCTACCTATGCAATTAATCAAATAAAAATGTAAGAACTCAAGGTGGAAGGGGAGTAGGGGCAATGTAGGAGCACTGAAATAAAAAACTTAATCACACAATTCATATGAAATTAGAGAGTTGAAAAGGAAAGAAAGACTTCGGATCCAAATAAGGGGGAAAAGAGGAGGAGCAAGCAGAGTGGCAATAAGTAAATCACACAGATTATGCAAACAAAATTCCAAAAGTAAAAGCTTATAATGCAAAACCAATTCTGGCATAAATATTTTATATAAAACTAAAATTATGCAAAACCACATACTACTGTTACTATCAATAATACTAATACAACCATTTTTCCCACTGAAATGCACGATTTGCTTTTCAACTTGCATAATTAAAAATAAAAAAGCAAGAACCAAAAGTAATTTTGGTTACGAATATGAAAACAAACAAATAAAGAAATAAAAGAGAGATAGAAACCTGCCTGCTTACGAATATGAAGTGGCACTACCTCTTTCGAACCACAGAACTTTGCCGGAGTAATTTTGCAGACATCAGCATGGCGAATATCATTAACCTGCGCACACCATTATATTCCAAATTCAAAAAATAAATAAGTAATTCATTCTAAACTCGTACCAGACTGGAATTACAGTATAATCTTTATTACCTTGCTATATTGAACAATGCACTTGAAATCCACGGACCAAGCCGTGAAAAGCAAGACCAATATGTGAGTAACAACAAGGCCGCCGAACACGATGGCTGCATCAACGAAATCTATGCTAGGAACAACCAAAGTTAGCCAAAGGAAATAGAGCACTGCGAAAGGCCAAACGTCTAATCGCCATACTGTACGTTTCTTTCTAAACAAATCGACTTTGTCCACTACTTTTCCACCCACATGGAACCTCGACATCTGAACTCCACCTTCCTATTTGTTCACCAAGAAAAATGGGTGTAAGGAAACAATGGATTACAGAGTGAAGAAAATTGATCGATTTGGGAGTCGTTAAAGTAATTATAAATCCGAAACCCCGACTACAGGAAAATTGATAATAGGATTTCGTAAAATTACCTGAGACAGAGAGATCTGAAACCCTAAAATCGAGACTAATTAAAGTTGAAATGAGACCTGACAAGGGAAAGAGAGAATACCGCTTTGGAACATGAATAATATAAAGTTAAATGAATCAGTTAATCAGACTTAATTAAAAAAAATCTAAATTAAATTTACTAAAATAAAGCAATGACCAAAATAAAAACATACATATTATAAATCATCTAAATGGATCTTGCGGATTAGGTTAACACTCATTTTTTTAAGGTTTAATACCAAACTAAGTGTTCAAAATATACCTTAATTATCGAATAGGTGTTTAAACTATTTTTGACATATACATTTGCCTAACATTACAAATGTTACAATTTTATGTTTTCGGGTCGTCAACGGTTTTAATTTCTCGATTAAATGACAAGTGTCACAATGTGGTGATTTTGAAAAAAAAATTAAAATATTATTATATTTATTAAAAAACATAATTTCTCTTAAATTATAAAAAAAGCCCAAAATACCTAAAATCCCTGAATCTTATCCTTAACCTGCCACTGCCGCCCTTTACGACCACGACCAACGCTGCTGACGTAGACCTTGTCATCCTCCTAGTCATACGCCATTGTAGCTGTCGTCGATTAGCCATCGAGATCGCGAGGGATCGCGATTTTCATCCTATGATTCGATGGGTATAAAATGTTGATTCGTCATCAATCGGGAATGATTTCATGGGAGTTTTGGTCACTGGGGGAGATGAGGTCGGGTTGAACTTCGTCGATGGCAAAGGGCGATGACTGACATGGACTTAGGGGTTGAAATGAAGGTTTTTGAAGTTTTGGGGTTATTTTCAAAATGTTTTATGTTTTTCTTTTAAAGAATATATAATTTTAATTTTTAATGTATATTTTTTAAATCACCATATTGTGACATGTATCACTTAACAAGGAAATTAATGTCATTGACGACCAAACACCAAAAATATTAACATTTGTAATGTTAGGCACCTGGATGAGTCAAAAAATAGTTTATGCACTTGTTCAAGAATTAAGTCATAGTTTGGGTACTTATTTTGGTATTAAACCTATTTTTAATAAGAATAGGGTAGTGGTATATAAAATCCATATAGAATGTTAATTAAAACTGAATTAATATCTTTCATAATTATGTTATATGTTTAATTTATAAAAATAATATTTGATTTAATTTTTAATTATATAGTATTTTTCTAACTTAATAAACTTTTTATTAGTCTACTTTAGTCTTTTATGGGTACAAAACGCATTCATAGGAAACATAGCTCTTTGTATTCCTATGTAGATGAATGCCTCTAAATTCGATCAATTTTTTCAATTTTGATAAGCAAAGGATATCCCAAATCGTGCTTCTGATAATTGATGAGTCGTCGACGTTGGCTTGAAGTTTGCAGATGATGGTTCTCGAGTCGCTCTCCAAGACTACCCGAGAAAAACCCAGGTCTTTCGCAAAGAGAAGCCCATGATAAGCAGCTAGAGCTTCCGCCATGAACACCGATGAGATGGAACGATGGAGACGAAAACAAGAACCCATGATGTTGTCATGCTCATCTCGAATGACCACACCAGAGGTAGCTTTCTGTTGGGCCATATAGTAACCTGCATCAACGTTTATTTTGACTAAATTTGGAGCTGGAGGTGACCAAGCCATAACAGCGTGGAAGAGGGAGTACACCGAGATAGTCCACTAAATTCCTGATGAAAGCTTTTGATTGAGGTAACAACAGAATCTGAACACTGCATTTTATTTTTATAAATAAGAACATTGCGAGCATGCCATAAACACCAGATGGTTATTGCCACTTTTGCTCTCTGATTAGGATCTTTATTTCTGAAAATCCATGAAAGCCATTCTTTAAATTCAACATTAGAAACAACTGTAGGCCAGTGGAATTCAAGCTTATTCCAAACCTAAGTAGCAAGGGGACAATCTATAGTAACATGAATTATATCTTCAATAGGATCTCGACAACGAGGAAAACTGGAGTCATGCTTAATTCGCTTTATACACAAATTATGGAAAGTAGGCACGAAATTGAGGAGACATATCCAAATTAGGATACAAACCTTGGGAGGGGATTTTACTTGCCATAGCTGATTAAACAAATGGACATCATCCGCATTAACCTCCCTCGAACCAAGTAGGTGTTTATACCTACTGCAAACCGAGTAGAGACCAGAATGTTCCCCATACCAAGCCAGCTTGTCCACTTGAGGCGATGAGGGTAAAGGGATGCTAAGAATGAGATCAGTCTCTTCCTCGGTGAAGATAGATGAAATAAGCCCCACATTCCATTGATTTTTCTCAGGATAAATAAGATATTTTACCATATTGAAGCCATGAGTCCGAGGCGAAGAAATAAGCTTTTGATCTTTCGTTGGAAGCCAAAAATCTGACCAGATTGAAACATTCATTCCTGACCCAATTCGTCATCGTAGTTTTCGCACACCAAATGCTACGCCAAACCATAGAAGGGCTAGACCCCACGGGGAAGCAAGGAAAGTGGAGGAGTTGAAGTACTTAGCTCTAAACAATCTAGCTACAAGGGAATCAGGATTTTCGACAAGTCAACACCCTTGCTTAGCCAGCATTGCGATGTTAAATTTGGACCAATCACACCAATGAATCCCTTTCTTTACAGAACTTTTTTGGTAATAGAAAGCACGACATAGCGTAGGTAGGAATAGCTGATTTTTTTTAACGTCAAATTTTTCAATTTAGATGTATAAATGATCACTACTCCGTATGTTTTTGTCCAACTTTTTCCTACAATTAAAAAATTAAATAAACTCTTGTAAGATATTTGACTTATTAAAGCATAATGTTATAATATCATTTTTTGTCGATGCCATCAACAATATGATATTGTCCTTAAATATAATCAATCAGTCCTTGTTTGGTGTTGATCAATCACTAGTTATCATTAATTGATCGATCAAAGTTGATCAACACCATTTCATATATGATATAGATAATGATTGACATAAGATATGTTATCACAGATTGGATAAACACGTTCTCTCCTTTGAATGACTCTAGAAAAACGGATTGAACTAGATGATTGATAGTTTCAAGTACTGGAGTAGGAGAATGGGTATAATTAAGGGACTAAATTAAATATTTATGATAATTTAGATTTATATTTTAATCTTGCAGTAAAGAGTTTTTGTACTATATATTTAATTTTATCGTTAATTGTTGACCTGACAATTATAAAAAATAAAAATAACTCAATTAATCTCTTTAGTTTATATAATTAAGGGGCTAAACTATGTATTTATTTATTTTTCTATTACCGGTAGTAGTATCTAAACTTTACTATTTTATCACGTTAGTATCTGCATCAGTCTACTATTTATCAGCAATTATCAATAATAACATGATTCGATAACCGAGCCACGTGTGTTATGTCAAAACCAGTTAAGTGTTAAAAGTCCAAATTCACACAAACCTAACATGATCTAGTAATAATCCAGCCATGCCATGCTGAACAACGAATAAGGAGCTCGTTGATCATTGGTAATGTTTGGTGAATGTCGGACCAACATAGTCCAAAGGGAACTCGACCTTGATAACAAAACAATAAAATGAAGCAAACATGATGGGCAATGATATTCAAGTGTGAACACACACAAAGTCTTTAGCTGGAAATGAGTAATAAAAGAAGACGTAGAGAAATTCAAATGAGACTCAAAACTCCCATAAAATGCACACCGCTCATGATTATTCAAATGCATATAGGATAAAACAGCCAACATCATGTAAAAGACAAGCCCCTAACATGATACCATGTAGATTCGACAGATGGGCAACAACTTAATCAGACAGGGCTTAGCAATTGATAAAGATGGGGTTTGGGTTCAGAGTTCATGCCGATGATGATGACCAGTGGAATGAAGCCATAGTGTGTTACCACTTTGGCTTTCTTCATAGCCCATGTGCTCCACTCTTTCAAGCGCTGTGCAGCTGATTTCTCATCCGACCCCTTAGACACCTTCCCCCCTTTGCCTTTGCCTTTAGTCTTCAGCGAAACTCTAGATGCCATAAAAAAACGTTTATTTTTCCCCGGACTATTTGCAGATTTGTTAGGCTATAAACCTATTACATTATAGGGCGAAAGAAGCAATTAGTTCAGTAATTTTAGAAAATGCTCACTACACAGAAGCTGCGAAAAAGTAAATATTATCTAGAAACGATGAAAACAAAGAAAACATAATTAATCATTGAACTGTGCTCAAATAATCGTTTTATTAAGAAAACCACGTTCAGATATTCGTTCTAGTCCTTGTACTTTCAAAAGCTACAAAATGGTTATTAAATTTATCATTTATTACAACATGTCACTCCCAATTTTATGATTTAAATATTTAATAGACCTTGACCACTCCCAATGCTCAGTCCTAGCTCCGTCCAAGATCAGAAGTTATAGTAAGTGTAAGAGTTCAATAAATTTAATGATCATTTTGTTAAAATTTCGATAAAATAACAGTTAAATCTATGATCACATCGATTCTAAATTAAAGAAGAATTATTTCAAACAAAAATTATAATTGAAGTTTCATGATTAACAATAAACAAGTTTCACCAAGAAAAATACTGAGTGTGGTATATGTTTTAAACAAGTTATAGATCAAACCCCAAATATCCAAATTCAAAACATTCGAACACCCGAAAGAGGGATATCAAAGGATAAGTTTTAGAGCAAGTTCACAAACAAAACACGATATCACCAAAAAAGAAATGTAATTAACCAATTCAAATCCTGTCCAAGACAGCTTCACCAGATTCTCATTTTTTGCCATCTGTATCTTTAATTCGTACCTAAATTACTCTCAAATCAATAACAACAATATTAATTTTGAAGGAGGCAAAAACACTTAGAAGCGCAATGGAAGCCTTGCAAATTATCAAAAAAGTACTACGAGGAGGTAATTTCATGATCGAAAACGGAAAAGCATAATCACAAGAAATCAACGACGAAAGGCCCGTTCAATGCTTACCTCTACAACGGGCCTTTAGGAAGCCAAGGAAGATTGCTTGTCTCGAGGATTCGTGAGAAGAAGAAATGAACGGTGGCTGAGAGGAATGACGGCTTTGAAAACGAAGGGAATAAATTCTGTTAGGGTTCGGTTGCATTATTACTTTATTATCCTTGTAAATACTTAAGTTTTGGTACTTGAATTTGGGTTCAGTATTCAATTAGGTACCTAAGTTTTTTTTTGGGACAATTAAGAACTTATACTTAGCTTGAAGCTTCAACTGGGTACCTAACAATTTTTTTGGGTGAAAAGAGGAAAAATCTTGATTATATTATGTTGCAATCATCAATTGTCTTCGAGCATTTTGTAGTGCTTCAGTTACTTCATTATTTTGTGGGTTGTCAAACAAATAGTTTTCTCAAAAGTAGTTCTGCCTGTGCAAATCTCGATACCTAGATTTTTGGTATCCTATTAGGGTATCCGCAATATATAGGTCGGTGATTTCTTGGTCCGTGTCTCAATCTGGATATTGCGGATATCCGTTAATCGGGTATATGGATTTTGCAAGTACTCGATTTTTTTCATTTTCAAATTATTAATTTAAAAAAATATATACACAAATTTAAATGTTCAAAATTTCTAATTACATACTCCAACATCTGAATTTAAAATTTAAAAATTCGAAATACAAAATCTAATCATTCATAATATAAATAATTCATTATATATATATATATATAACCCGGGTATCCGAAAAACTTCAATTTTGTGATCAGGGCCCAACCTGGCCAGATAATTTTTTTAAAAAAAATTATCTAATTTTTAAGATTTGAGTCGACAGATCAAGTCAATCGGGTAGAGTAATTTTACACACCCTAGTTCTAGGCTAGTTTGGCCATACTATTAACCTTATCTTTCGCGAAAACATGTGTAAATGATATGTATCATCGTCGTCATAATGACTTTAAGATAAGGTGGGTTATTGTGTCTTCTCCGCTGTCATTCCTTTCCAAATCATGTATATCACATCTAAATTGTTTTGTTCCACTAAAATTTAATGCGCTCTCATGTTTCATGTTCGATTTGATTGTTCAAATTAATTTAAAAATTGTAAGTATTTATTTAGACTACAAAGTAAAGTTCAAATTCAATTTAAACTAATAAGTCAAATTCGAATATCTAATTATGTTAAAAAAATTAGTTAGAAATTAAACTTCAAACCTAATTTAAGTATATAATTAAAGGAATTAAATTGAACACCGAAACCAAATTCCATACCTAAATGTATATTTACCATTTATAATTGGCTGGAATTTGATATTTTAACATTAAAAATATAAAATATTGTTTTGGACATAAAAATTCTGTTATCCGCAACATAAGTTTGAAAAACTCTTGATATAAATTAAATTGAAATATTATTGAAATATTTTTTGATACTATCACTAAGGTTATGGTTGAAGATTTAGGACTAAATCGATTGAATTTGTAAATAATGAAAATCAAATATATAATTATACAATATTTAAATTGTTAAGTGATTTGATTGATGAAATTAAAAGATTAGTAGTTAAAATAGAATTATGAAATAGTTAAGGGGTCACGAGTGCAGTTTACCCTAAACTTAAAAAAAGAAACCAACACGTGCCGGCGAAGATCAACGCAAATAGCGCGCATGTTCAATCTTTGTCCCTCCTATTTCATCTTCTTTTAAAAGCTTCATCACTTCAACTCATCCACTTGTTACCTCTCTCTCTTGCCCACGGATTCCCCTGTACTTTCTTTCTTTCTTCTTTCAAATCTTTCGACCACAGTTTGTTCATTGCCTCTTAAACGAATACATGGCGTCTTCACTCTCAAGGTCACCCTCCATTTCATTCTATTCCGTCGTTAAAACCACCGCCACCTCGCCTCACCTTCCTCTGTCCAAGCTCTCTTTTCGCTTCTCTTCCAGGCCAATCTTCCGATTCTTCTCCAAGGTAAAGCAACTTATTCTGAATTTTCTCTCTCTGTCTTTCTTCTTGGCGTTAATTGTATCTGCTCCGGACCTGTTGATGCCAAATTCCGGAGTTGGAAGAGACAACTGATTTATTATTGGAATCTTTGATTAGAAATTTTATCTTTTGTTTTCATGTTCAGTTTTTTATTTTAGAATTAGAGTGTGATCTCCACTTTTTGATTAATGTTAGGCTTCAATCCATTTGTTTTTGCTGTCAAAATTAGTAGCAGTCAGGACAGAAGATGATTGTTTTTATTTGCATTTAATTATTCTAGCGTTTAGAAATGTATTAGGTGCTGTGTTATTTGCTTAATTTCCTCACAATTTATGATCTAGTTGTTATTGTTTGATGTGAAGAATTGAAGATAACCTTCACGAATTGCAAATTAGATATTTTAACTGTTCTGAGATTGCAAATTGCTTATATACATGTGGCAGTTTAGCTATCTTCATGTTTAAAGCAAATATGAATTTCCTCTCAGCAACTTCTGGGAAAGTAACAGTAAATATCAATAAGGTAAACCAGAAGATGAAATGCTTGTTTCTTTGAGTTTGTTAAAATAGATTTTTTCAATGCTCATTTTTCTTTCATTCTTCCATGACTGATCCAATAATCTAGGAATAGATAGGAGGGTAGGGAAAGGCAAGCAGAAAGCTTTTAGGTCCTTTTTCTGATTTTGTAAATGTTCGTACTCCAAAAAGAAATAGCTTTCTGTCGCAGCATGGTCTGGACTTTCTGTGCAGTGAAAGAGCAGACCACTTGAATATTTGGTGCCCTTATCCTGTTTTTCCCCTTCACAAGTCTTCGAGCAGCTCGATTGGTGAAACATTATGTATGTGGTGCTAGAAGTTTAGTTTTCTTCATTGTGAGTTGAATGTGCACCTTTCTGTAACAGAAGAAATATATGAGTAAGCAGAGCAGGTGAAAGATTATCGTGCCATTGATTCCTTTTTAGGCCAAACCTCTGGACCATGATATTTACAATCATAAACCTAAGTAATTCTTTGCGTCCTCTCTCTCTTTTGGGATAATTCAACTTAAGCTAAACTGTTTTGAGGTTGATTATAAAAAGTTAATTACAAGTATGATCTCTTTTATTCTGAATGAGATCCACCTATAACGTGAAAACGCATACCGATGTGATAGTTGTCTTCTGCACGGGAATTAATTGTCAAAAGTCAAAAGATAATGTGGCAGATAGATGAGATCAATATAATTAGGGTTGTTTACCTTTTATATGTTTTAATAGATTGTGAGCAAGGTATACATGAAAATTATTTTTCCAAACTTAAATTGTAGGAAGATATATAAATGTAAGAGTTAATAGCAGCAAAAATAAAATTGAGTAGAACTGATAATGCTTTCATTTGGAGTGAAGCCTAAAGGGCACTTGGTTTGGTTATATATTATACTTTAGTGTTGTTTTAGTTATAGTTATTACTAGATGACTGCAATTTTAATTGTATAGAGTGATATTATTTGCATAATCAGTGATAAATAATACATCATGTCGTTGACATTGGTGACGGTATCATACATCACGGTGTGAAGTTAAATGGATTACTTCTAAGATGCAACACAATCAAATTCACAACTTAATGGTGATTTCATACAATTTCATAATTTGATAAACAACGAGAAGAAAAAAACACGCAATTAAACAGATTATGGTTGTGACTAATGTGGTTGCCACTTGGCAGAGTTCTTAGTTGCATGCAAAATAAGTTGTGGTTGAGGTTTTCATCAAGTCTAAAATTATTATTTTCTCTCCGTTCTCTCTCTAAATTAATGGAGTTATTTTGAAATAAGTAGCTGGTTTTTAAGCTTTTACCATGTATTATGGATCTTATATGCAATATAATATTTGAAAGTGAGAGGCTCATCCAGGGTTGAAACTTGACTTATTTTTATTTGTATTGACAAAAACATTTCCCTACCTTGCTGAATTCACCTAAGCATATAGATATATTAAAAACCCATCTGAAACTTTATGTTCATCTGTCGTGTGCATGTTTGCTCCTGTTCTTGTATGCTGGACTAAAGTTTTACTGTTCTTTGCACTGCAGAGTTTGCAGACTGGTCAGAACTGTTCTGCATTGGTGAAAGCCCAATTGAATGAGGTAAGCTTCTTTAAATGATTTTGGCTAGAGGATCTGTTTTCAAATTTTCCTCCCTTACTGGACACACTTTCGGGATCATCTGTTGCCTTCAAGGTTGGGGTAGATGGATCATCAAATGCTAAGTCATCAAGCAATGTCTCTCCTCCAGATTTGGCATCATAAGAATCGATCTCAGAGTTCCTTAAGCAAGTTTCAAATCTAGTCAAGTATGCAGCTTTCTGATAGATTATGTGCTGTTTTTTGTTCCTCCTAGTTTGATCAATTTGATGGTTTTTATCTGTTTTCTTATAGGCTAGTTGATTCAAGAGATATTGCGGAATTGCAGCTGAAACAACTTGACCGTGAACTGATAACCCGAAAAAATGTGGCCTTGCCCCAACCACCCTCTGCAGCTCCTGATTCTATGATACAGGCATCCTCTCTACCACCAGTAGGGCCTCCAGTGCAAACTGCCCCTGCTCCTTCTGGTAACGCACCACCTGCTGCCGCTACTCCAGCACCTTCTACAGCTCCTCCCAAGTCAGCTAAATCTTCGCTCCCACCTCTTAAATGTCCAATGACTGGTACATTCTACAGAAGTCCGGGTCCTGGTGAACCACCATTTGTGAAGGTGATCCATACATGTTGGTTTTATTGGATTTTCAGGTTGCTGTCATTATGTATATCCTACAATTGTTTCTCTTTGACTCTTTGGGCTTATGCAAAAGGCTTTCTTTGTAGGTTGGAGACAAAGTGCAAAAAGGTCAGGTCGTATGCATCATTGAGGCAATGAAGTTGATGAATGAAATAGAAGTAAGTTCTTATTCATTCTGCTTGGAGAAAGAATATCTTTAGACAAACAAAATTTATTGTTTCTTGGCTCCTTTTTTTATTATCTTAGAAATTCTGTATCCCAAATGTAGTAGACTAGTAACAGGAAGATTGCAGTACGTGGGTGATAAAACTTGTAAGTGCTAAGATAAAATTTATAAGCGATATAAAAATTCA